AGCAAAACAAACTAGTTTTATATATCAGGTTAGATAGTAATAAAAGGAAAAAAGAAAGCAAACATGCTGGTTAATAATTTGTATTTTGGGACATACTTTATAGGTCACCTGGCTTCTCATTTCCTCTAACCGTACTCATTTGATGTGGTCTTTGCCAAACAAGCATCCACTGTCCCTGTGTGCGACACTGAGGAGTTTCCTGGGACTGCAGATTTGCTGTGTAAAACAGGGATAGTACCTGACAAACCAAGATGGTTGGTCACCGTCATTGCCACAGAAACACAGAGATCTGGACTCAAACTCCATCTTAATTTTTTTTTTTACCCTGAGCAAAATATAATCTGTTAACTTAGAATCTTTATCTATAAAACTGGAGTAAAAATATTTGTTGCATAGAATTTTTAAAAAAGGGCTCATGAGGAAACCACCCAGCTCAGGTTAGTCGACATGAATTCTTTTTTCCTCACCAACTTTTCCAATGCTACTATGACATAGAAGAAGCATTGTTTTACTTATTTCGTTGATAAGAAACACTATTTTCATTGATAAAAAACACTTTATCTTACCCAAGGCAATTGAGCAGTAAATGATAAAATCAGGGCTTGGGCCCTGCCTTCTGGTGATATATTCAATACTTTCTAAACCATATACGTTTCAATTTCAAATGTCAAGGAGAATTTGAAAGTAGTTATTCATAGTAAGTTTTTAGCACTTTTATAACATGTAAAGTCTAGTACTTTTTCTTTGAATATCTTTTATTTTAGCACAGTGCAGATGTTTAAGCATAGGTGCTATCATAATAATGACCCATAAAATGTTATGTTATAGTCTATTTATCCTTTTTGTATGTTCATTAAATCCTAAGTGTACATAGAACTTCTCCATTCCCTGTTTTTGTTGGCTGTCAGAATACTGATTTCTGGTTTCAGTGATTACAGTAATGTATTATTGAATAATGTCTGATGACTATTGGGTTTAACAAACATGTTTAAAATGCATATTTCATTTTGTATTTGAAAAATAGGTCTCAATAAACATACATTTAAAATGGAATAAAAAGTACATTTGGAAAATGGACCATAAAAACGTTTTCCCAGATTTCTTCTTAAAGTGTGGATAGGATGCGATTGTGATACAGCACCGCAAAACATAATGGTCCCCCACTGAATTATAAATTTCCAACTCAGCTGAGGGATTTCACAGAACATAAACACCAGGACAGAGATGATACATTTGTTTTCAAAGAAGGAGATAGTTACATTTCATCATGTTCCCTTCAAGTTAATTTACATCTAGTTTAGGGAATGGTAGAACTGAAATATCTAACTCTCCAATCAAAAATATGAATATATTTGTTTAGGAAAAATAAATGAGCCACATATGTAGAACATAAACAAAGAGGAACTCTGGATATAGTGTCTGTTTATTTTCTCTCCATCCAGAATTGTGTTTTTATGATTGTGACTTTTAATTTAAAACAATAATGGGCTGGAGACTTGATTAAATTTGAGCATTTGAAAAAGGTTGAAAGGATTTTTCTTCTTAGCATGCTCATGATCCGAATCATAATTGTTAACAGGCCGCATGAACCTCAGTGCTTTTAGTTCATTCAACCTAATCTTATTTTTTAATGTAGTTTGCCAACATTTATAGACCTCTAAAACATTTAGCAGATGGCTTGATAGATTTCTCATAGTAATGTGAGCAGGCTGACCCAATGAAGATTTTGGCTTTTCACTATTATCGTAACTTTTTAATGTGCATTGCAATACTTCTTTTTTAAATATCCAATTTATTTAATTTAGGCTCTGTTTCCTATTCAGTGACCTAGACTTTATTTTAAAAATTACATTGGCAATGAACTAATTACTGTATAGGAAAGCAAATTAACCAATTTTTTTCTCTAGGAGAATAGAAATAAGCATCTATGTAAGGTGGATAAATCTAATATGTAATCTTATTTCTCCAGATATTTTCCTAAGTAAATAGGATTCAAAACAATGTCTTTTTCCTAAGAAAACAGTACATGAATATTCTAGAATACTTAGAAAAGAAATATAATCATGTTTGCTTCCTCTCTATTATTATAACCATTTTGTTTATTTTTCTTTCCCTTATTTGTGAAGAGATATTACCATTTTTTTTACCATTCTCATTAATCAATGAAGAAGGTATTTTTAAAATTTAGTTGTAATAATGTTTTCACTAATTTTATAATTGACATTATTCATATTGTTATATAACCTTTATTAGCATCACTTTTTAATGGCTGCATTATACTTTCTTAAGGCAGAAAGTACAGGTTTTAAGGATTCTTTATAGTCAGAAATGTGGGTTGTTTCTAAATATGGATGGATCTGACACATACTATATTTTGCTAATTTCTCAGATATAGTTTGGAGAAAAAGGTTGAGATTTTTTGGAAAAAATGGTGATGGGTTTTACTTAGATCTGTCTAGTTGAGATATTTGTGGGAACCTCAAGTGCATCCATCCAGGAGATAATCTAAATACGTAGAGGAATCCTATATAGGCCTGTAATGACATTGTTTAAGTGGTATCACAAGAGAAGAAATAAGGAAGAAAACTTAGAGGTAAATATGAATATCTTTTTACAGTTTACTACACTCAGTCACAGGGCTCATGGCCTCAAAATCATTTTCTCTTTTTCTTCTTCTTGCCAACTTTCCCATCAAATTTGACTCATTCATATGGTCAAATGAAAGAGATTCAATTAAACTAATACATACAACGATTAAATGAATGATAACCTCACACTGCCATTTTGGTATTAGAAAAACGGAGGCTTAAGAAATTTCTGGATACATGGAGGGGATGATTCATACAACATGAACTACTTTTCATTTGCCTTATTGTAATATCTCTCATATTAAGAGGATAAATCTGACATTTATCTACCACCAGATTGATTTATAACACTATGATAGACATATTGTGATTATCTGCTTATAACCTTTTCACTACACTGGAAGAGAACATGAATCCTGTAAAGAGAGTGTCCAATATCAAGATCTCTGACTTCCCTGCCTACATTCTTTCCTTCCTTCCTAGGTCTTTTTTAATGTATCTGGCCCTGCCCTGGTATCTGAGAATTCAGTGGTGTAAGATGAGTTTTCTACTTCCCCAGAGTAAATATTCCAGTGGGGAAGAGAGATGAAATAGAGAAAGAAAGAATTCATGAACAAGATATTCAGATACTGGTAGAGACTATGAAGAAATAAATAAGGTCACGTGAAGAGGAGTGATCGAGTCCATGCTGGGCAGGAAGAGCATCATTGAGGAAGTAATGTTTGAGCACATACATGTAATTTAAAGCCATGAACTGAGCGAGACCACCTCAAGAGAGAGAGAAGAGGATTGATGTGGAATGGCAAGTTTAGAAAATGCCTCTTAAATTTTTTAATGAAGGAAACAGAAAAAAAAGGATGGGTTGGTATTGGAAGGAGATATAAACCTAAGAAGCAGTTATTGTAGCTATCATCTATCTATCTATATCTATCTATTTACCTATCTACTGATTGATCTTTCTTTCTATCTCTCTCATCTATCTACCTACCTACCCATCTGTCATCTATCTGTCATCTGTATCTATCATTTATCATCATCTATCTCTTTATTTGTGGTAGGAGATATCAAAGCATTTGAAGTGCTAATAAAGATGATCCAGTAGAGAGAGAAAAAAGGCTGATGCAGGATATTGAGGTTGTAATTGTAGATGAAATGTCCTTAGAAAGATCCGAGGGACTGTATCCGTGCGCTGTTGGGAGCGGCTGTCCTTATGTAGAAGCATGGCCACCTTCATTGCTGTCAGCTCAGGAGGGAAACAGAGAGAATGTGATCGTGGCAGTTTTGTGGTTGAAAGGTAAAAGGTTTCTGTCTGAAGGCTTCTATTTTTTTGGTGACGTGTAGGCAAGATAATCAGCAGGAATTCAGAGAAAGAGAAGTGTGCAGAGCTGTAGGTATTATGAGAAGAAAAGAGGAGGTATAAAATAATCATTTTTGAGAGTGGAAGAACTAAGTTACTAAAGAAAGAAGGAGGAGGACTTGGAAATACTAAGTGCTCGTTTTGGATTTGTGGTCAAGAATTTTAGGGTGTCTCAAAATTAGTACGATGTTGCATTTTTTACCAGCTTCACTGTACTTTTGTTACTCACAGATTGAAAAATACTCAGTTACAGAAATTTCCTAAGTGTTCATTAAAGCTATTATGTTAAAATGTGATTTGTCATTAACAATAGCAGCATGATACATTTGATAGATGGCGGTATATATCCATGTATGTAATAATACCTATCCAGCCACTGACAGTGCTTAGTGCCCTCAGATATGCTCTTTTTTTCTGCTTGGCCCCCAGCCTCCTGTAATAATCCTATTTTCCCATTGGGATCTGAATACCGTAAGTTTGGAACCAATGTTATTTTATCATAGACTGTTGAACCATGAAGGGGGCATAGAAATTATGAAATTTGTTGGTTCTTCTTTTCGATTACCATAACCACATAGGGGATCTTAAAAATGGATATTTCATGACTATTGCAGATCTATGTGAACATCACTGAGGTAGACTTAGAGACTTAAACTCATCAATATTCTTTCCCTATTGCCAAATGAATCCCACATAGGAGGAGGGATATTTGTTTGTAAATTTGATAATTTCCTTTATACCCAAAGCAGACCATAAAGGGATTCTCTAACTAGGGAATTGGTTTAAAAAGAAAAGTGCTATTATTATAAAAGGTCTCACCCAAAATAGCTGAAATGCTAATGTAAAAGGCAGTGCTTCCAGCCAAAAGCATACTCCACAGTCCTAGTATTCCATTTTACCTCTCAGATTCTTAGACTGCTAGATGAAGGATGGTGTCTAAAGTCTTGGGCTGTGATATGGTGTTGTATGGTGGCCAGCTGCAACCCAGACGGCCATTGTGCTGTGACCCTCTGAATTTTTTCCTATTCTTATGATATGTGTGTGATATTTTTCAGTATACTTCTGCTCTAACCTATGATGCTGTTCAAGTGATGACTGAGGCTTTCCGCAACCTTCGGAAGCAGAGAATTGAAATCTCTCGAAGGGGGAATGCAGGAGATTGCCTGGCAAACCCAGCAGTCCCCTGGGGACAAGGCGTAGAAATAGAAAGGGCCCTCAAACAGGTCAGTCACTCAAAATGATTGTGAGTGTGACTTAACAGTGGACACTATTTTTTCCTGCTATGTTAGTCTCCTGGCTATGTTTAACGTAAAGTGAATATTATCTCCTAACTGCACAGAGGTATGTTGAAGGGTGAAAAGAAATCTTATAAATGTAGTTTTCTTAACTTGAGCCCAGTGAGAGTAATCTGTACAGTTTGTATCTTCGGTTGCAGTAAATTGATAACTGTGGTCCTTTCCCATTTCCTCATTAGGTTCAGGTTGAAGGTCTCTCGGGAAATATAAAGTTTGACCAAAATGGAAAAAGAATAAACTATACAATTAACATTATGGAACTCAAAACCAATGGGCCCCGGAAGGTAAATCATTAGTGATCTAAAGGCAGTTTTCTCTCTGCGAGGAGGTGAGTTTGCTAACCCATCACCTCTTCTTCCAGAAAGTCCTGGAAATGGATATTCACGTAGGTAGAGTTTATCTACTTCCAGAAACAGATATATTTTTAATTTTTTTCCCTAAATCTAATCTATTCATTTCTGGTAAGTAATACTGAAATGTAATCTTCAAATGACTGTGAATAGAAGAACTGTTTTTATTTTTATTTTTATTTTTTGTTTTTTTTTGTTTTTTGATCAAGGTGTAAGAGATTTAATGAGAAGAAAAAGAAACCATCGTTGACAGTTTATGGTTTAGAAGACAAAACATAGCTGGTGCAAATATGCATTAATATTTTAATTCAGTACCTTTCTCTTAACTGTTATGGATAAAATTCCATTGCTTGGATTTTATTTCTATTTCCATATGATCACTCCAAAACAAATTACCCTGGAAAGTATGAGAAGTGAATGTGAAAAGACAAGCCATTTTAAAGAATTGCTTTTGTTTCATTGTTTTTATAATCTCTATTTGTATTAGAGTCACAAAAATAAAAGACACAGCTTTGTTAATGTATATATATTTTTTTAATTTTTTAAATTTATTTTCAGCGTAACAGTATTCATTGTTCTTGCACCACACCCAGTGCTCCAAGATATAAGTTTTGATTCATATGTGAGTTTGAAATAATTCAATGTGTGGCTAATAGAAAGATCATTTATCCATGTGCCTATCTTCTATAACCTTTTTCAGATTGGATACTGGAGTGAAGTGGACAAAATGGTTGTTACCCTTACCGAGCTCCCTTCTGGAAATGATACCTCTGGGCTTGAGAATAAGACTGTTGTTGTCACTACAATTTTGGTAATTAGCTACCAATGCTACTGCAGTTCTTCTTATGAAAAATATCTGCCAACTAGAATTGCTGCTAGTGTTTTAGGATAATAACTAATGGAGTGCTTCTTTGGCACTGTTTGAATCATGCATAGCATATTTACTCTGTCAAAGGGACCACACAAGTATTAGCTAAAGCATTCAAAATATTTGCTATCCTCTTCAATACTGAAATTTAGCTTGACAGAAAATTCATACACTGGTGCGTCCACAAGTGTGAGCAGCTGGGGAAGGTCTGGGAGAGGGTTCCTTGTGTTTCCTCCTGTGCTTTACCTTTCACTTCCCATGCAATTCTGGGTACCTTCTATCTTCACATTTATTAATAATGTTAGCAAGTCTCTTTCCTTATAAGATAAACTGCTTAAAGATAATTTCTCTTCTTTTTAACCACCAATGTCCACACAGTCATTGAGATACAGCCAGTTCTGAGGGAATGAGATAACATTGAACTGAATCTTGATCATCTAGGCTCTGGAGAGATGGAGGTAGATGCAGATCATCGTGACAAGCCGTTGGTGAAATAGAGATGGGGGGGAAGGGCTTCACTAATAGTACATGATTTTGCGACAAAACAATTGTATTTTATTTTGCTGAGCTGTGGTATAGTAAAATTGTGGGATTCATTATTCTAACGATATTGAGAAGAAAAATATAGGTGAAAATATAGCTGAAAAAATCAGCTAATAAGAGATTTGAATAGAAACATTGATTGGCATTTGGAAATACCTTAAAAAGTATAAGCTCTGACATGTGAGGGCTTTTGGTAATCACGCATCAAGGGGGACTATTTCACTGAACTCTCAAATATGCTTGATGACACTTTCCAGTAGAGAATATTGGGCTATGTTGAATCATTTTCATACTTCATTTTTCTTGTGTTTACAGGGGGAAGCTACTTTCCATCCTTGTAATGTTATTCTAGGATATTCTATCTTATAGATGAAGTGAGACATGAAATCTGAGAGGGTAGCCTCAGTATGTCACTATGGCAATGATTCTTTAGTCTATCCATTACTGACTATCAACATGATTTCCACATGAACCTTATCCTTAAAGCAGCAATACATAGGGTTTTGGGTGAATGCTGGAACTCGGCATGACCCTAACCTAGAATAAGAGTGTGGTGGATCTGGAGTTGAATAAAACAGATGTTGAGCAACATTATTCCTATCTACACTCTAGGAGTTTACAAACATGACAAGGGGACATGTCAACAGTTTGTGCTTTTGAGTTTCTTGTTTACTTTGTTATGGCTAGATACAAGTCATATTAATGAAATATAATGTTAGGCATTTGAGGACCTTTTTTCTCAAAGGTATTATGCTCAATATTTTTCTGCTGATATTTTCCACCATTCATATTCTACAGTTTCTCTGGCTACCAGGTAATAATTAAACCAGAAGACTTGAATCAGTGAAAGTAGTTAACACAGCTATTTTTTTTTAAATCAATGAAAGAACTGTCTTTCCATATAGGAATCTCCATATGTTATGATGAAGAAAAATCATGAAATGCTTGAAGGCAATGAGCGCTATGAGGGCTACTGTGTTGACTTGGCTGCCGAAATCGCCAAACATTGTGGGTTCAAGTACAAGTTGACAATTGTTGGGGATGGCAAGTATGGGGCCAGGGATGCTGACACGAAAATTTGGAATGGGATGGTTGGAGAACTTGTATATGGGGTAAGTATAGCTTTTCTCCCAAATAAAGTCATTCAGTTTGAACTCTTGTTGACAGAATTCCCCACTTCCCTGCAAAGTACCTCTATCTGAGGTTGTTAGTTTCCCACATTACTGAAGAATACTATCTTTTTGCCTTGTGAACATCTGAAAATTAAGGCTAACCTCAGAAGCACACCCACACACTAAATGAGACAGACATTTGATCTGTCTTGAAGCATATGAACCATATACATTGCTCAAAGGCACCAAAGGCATAAATTCAGTGTAGAGATGTAATTATCATAGTTGAGTCAGACGGGCATACTGCGTATTTATAAAGAGGAGGGATATTTGGGTAACAAATTGCTTTTTTGTTTATTCTTTATTGGGACTCTGCCAAGGAAATAATTATTGACATTTCCCTGATTTCCTTTTCTTCCCTTTTGATCCACTAATGTAACGATGATTCCTTTCAGACCATGACTTTGGGTACTATTACTTTCATTTGTTTTCCTTACAGAAAGCTGACATTGCAATTGCTCCATTAACTATTACCCTTGTGAGAGAAGAGGTGATTGACTTCTCAAAGCCCTTTATGAGCCTCGGGATATCTATCATGATCAAGAAGCCTCAGAAGTCCAAACCAGGAGTGTTTTCATTTCTTGATCCTTTAGCCTATGAGATCTGGATGTGCATTGTTTTTGCCTACATTGGGGTCAGTGTAGTTTTATTCCTGGTCAGCAGATTTAGCCCCTACGAGTGGCACACTGAGGAGTTTGAAGATGGAAGAGAAACACAAAGTAGTGAATCAACTAATGAATTTGGGATTTTTAATAGTCTCTGGTTTTCCTTGGGTGCCTTTATGCAGCAAGGATGCGATATTTCGCCAAGGTTGGTTACTCACCTGCTTCAACTTTGTGCATTTTAGGTCTCAAGTGGATATTCATGGTGTTTATGAATTCACTATAAAGAAGAAAACAGCCGCTGACTACCTGTCCAAGCAGTTTAAGACTCTTCAGGACAGACTCTTACTGTCGGCATAAGTCTGTGAAATATTCGAGCAATGTTCTTTGAATGTTGATCTTGTATTTCCTGGTGAAATTATACACACCATGGAGAGGCTATAAAATGCATAAGGTTCCTATCATTCCATGCCTTCTTGGAGGGGTACCGTGTTTTTGCTGCATATTCTCATTTTACAGTCATCTGTGTGTTGATCCACAGATCTGTATATGGGAAAATGGGCAACATCACTTATTAACTACAAAAGCAACAACTTGTTTACAGAACTTCATTGGCACACATCCCATCTCTTTTATTTTCTCATTATTAGCTCATGCAGATGGTATCAGAGAGAGATTATAAGTTTGTTTTTTTTTTTTTTTAAAAGGTTAGGTTGCTGAATTAAGGGGATGTCTTATAAGATATTTTCCAAGTATTTAGAAGTACATGGTTGGTAATAATGGTGGTTGATTCATTGCAGCTTCGCTATATTCAGTAGTAATACACACAGATAATGGAATACATTTCTGCATCTAGTCTCATTATGATATATTAGGTACTGCTCTAAAATACCTAAATACAATGAATATCTCACAAAATACATTTTGCCTTTGTTCATGTTACTACATGAATAAGAAGGATAGCCATATCTGGCTCTTCGGAAGAATAAACCATGATTTTTCTAGTATGATTCTTTCACATTTGAAGGCTAAATTATGGTCTACTGACACATTTTAATCTAGGTTTGATTACTTTCCTTTGATTCTATGGGATATCTTAATAACTAATAAAGGGGATGATTTTTCTAATACTATTTCGTTGTTAGTTTCTGAGCACTTTGGAGATAACTGATTAATTTCAAAAAACTCAAAAATTTGTATCTTTCGTAGTCTTTTTTTGTATACTCCACCCAGTGAGATAAATTAAATATATCATGTATGCAGAAATTATTAATGACTCTCTGCTAGTAGGACACATTGTTATAAATTATTTGAACCTAAACAATCTTAATTCCATAGATTCCTTTTGACTTCTTTATGGAACTGCCCTGAATTAAAAATATGCCAATGGTATTTGCATGGCATATGTGTATAATAATTTTAATATATACAGTGTAGAATAATATAGAAATATATAATAATGTTATATATAATAATATACATAAATATGATGACCTCCTACAAAATACGAAGAGTCATAGTTTTATCTCTACATTTATCTGATTTAAGTTAGAGACATAAAGAGAAGTTTCTAATAATGAGGGAGAAAATATTAACCAAATGGGGCTCTCAGAGAATATTCTGGTCCATAAATAATAATAAAATTATTCATCTTTGGTAAGAAGTATAGTGTAACTTTAATCCTGAGATAAAACACAATTACCCTAGGGTAACATAAACTATGCTCTGCCTTTTGATTTAGTAAGGAGAAGTGTGTAAGGTTCAATATAAAGTAGGATATATTGATCTGGGTTCCTATAGATGGATCCTTAGATTTGTTTGCCTTATTCCTCATGGCTCCTGGCTCTGAAGTTAGTTGTTTTGGTGTCCAGTGCTTGTCAAGGAACAGAAAACATATTTAAAGGAATTGTAGCATAGAGCACATTTAAAAATATGTGTTACCCTAGGGTCCACCATGACAAACAGACAACTACTAATTTTCAAAAAGCCTGTTTTGTAAAATATGCCCTTTTATCTGTGCTCATGATTTCATTCATGAGTCATGACTTACTACATGACTTACTACAATTTCACATGGAATAATTTTTATTTCCTGGTACACTAAATAGATTTTAGATAGTATATTTTTCCTTGTTATCAATTGATTTATTTTTTGCTACAGAATATATATATGAGCAAAATTTGCTTTGCTAAAAAATTTTAAGTGTACATATCTTTCATTCCATATTATATGTGCATTTAAATATTGAAAATACTGCATAATACTGGCAAATTTAATGATTTTTAAAACAAACCAAACTATCTTTTTTTTATAATGCAATGATGGTTACTCCAGCTTAGGAAAGAAGAATAGAGAAACATAGTATCTAATAATAATGATGATGATGGGAAAGAAGAATAGAGAAATGTAGTATCTAATAATGATGATGATGATGATGATGATAATAATGATGATGATGATGATTCATGAAATGCACTGATCATTTTGAGATATTCTTTAAATATTTTGAAAGATATTTATCACATCTTTTCAAGTAAAACATGGTATGGAAATATATTATTAATATTAATAGAACATTTAAATTTTAATCATAAATTATTCATTAACCTGAATTGGTCTTTTTCCTGAAATTAGGTTTAGAATATGTTTACTGTAGTTTTCTGAAGCCTAGAACCACAGAAAGTGTGAGCGTAAAATGCTATAAAGTTGATTTTTATTTTCTTGCTTGCCTCTGTTTTTTTTCCCTAATATCTCAAAAGGATTCCAATGAATAAAAATGTCATTCTTAAAACAGTTATTTAATATAGATTTAAAAGAAATGGTAGAATAAAAAAGAAGGAATTGGTAGCATATCTGTTTATTTGCTCTTTTAATCCAGATTCAAAGAAGTAAAGGTTTGTTTTTAATTAGAGAAACCATTTTTGTCTGTCACCATAAGACATAAATTGAATTGCCCCCTGCATAAAATTTCTTAGGAACTCTTTCAGAAACATTAAGTGATCCTTTGAAAACAATTACAAATGAATAATAAATTGCTCAAGAATTTTCTGTTTTGAATGAAGTATAAGTTTAATAAATTTATTGAGATAACTTGTCAAACTTCAAATAAATTGGTATATTTAAACTCATTAAATCTGACCTAAGCACTGGAATAGAGAACAACCTATCTTGTGTTTATAAATGGAACAGAATTACTTATAAAAACGATTCTGAAATACATTGCCAATTACCATGCAGTTTATAGTGTCAAAGCAATTACTAAGAAGACATTTTTGTTTTAAGGGATTTGAGCTGCCCTCTTAAATATGGAATACATACCCTTTGATTATGCTTTCCATTGTTATGGAATAGCGAACATTTTGAGAGTGGCTGTGTCTACACAAGAGGTTTCTTAAATTTAAAATGTATTTAATACCCTATCCATGAGAGAGTAGTTCATTTTTTCCATTCTGTCATATTTATTTAATTCTTTGCATCTCTCAGAGTCTGTAATAAAGGCTCTTAGTTATATTTTTTCATCACTTGTCACTCTCTCTTTTAGCAATAGATATTCTTAAAAATCTTTATTTTTAAATAAGCTCACTTTTTTTTTGACTGCTAGAATAATTTATTCTACAAAGGTGTATTCCTTACTGTTAAATGTCAGGAGGTCTGTTTTAGGCCATAAATTATCAAACGTTTGTAATTTAGATTTTTAGAAATATTACCTTTTCACTGTAGCAAATTTAATTGTTAGACATAGCAAAGTTATTATGTTATGTATCAATTTCCATATCTACATATCTATATTTATCTCCCTAGGGTTTAAAGTAAGTTATTAGGGATCTATTAAGCTTTCAAAAGTATTTTACATATGAATTTATGGTCAAAGAGATATTATTATTTTATTATATTACAAATCAGGAATTTGTATCTTGACAAATGTTTAAATGTCTAATTTTGTTTTCCTTGAGTTGTCTTTTTTTCCTAAGCAGGAAGCACAGAGGAACAGGGTGGTAGCAGTCCATGCCAGGAAGCCTCAGATTTTTATTCATTAAGAATTATATTTTGTGTCATCCCTTTGTTTGTTGTATCATTGTTCCCCATTTTCTATTCTGCACCATATCAAAAACCTACGTTTTTGCACACACAAAAAACCAGTGAAATTTTGGACCTTTTAGAGGGTTTTGGAACTTCATTGTCTGAATTAAAGGGAGGGTTTCAACTTCACCTATGGTGCACATTCTTTTATTTTTAATATTTGATTTTGTTTGTCAAAATAATTGTGAGTTTTACAAGTGATGTTAAATTCTCTTTTTCGTGTTTACTTATGTCATGAATGGATAGTAGGATGGGCATTGGCTGGATTATTTGCATATTTCTTAAAATTGCTTCATTGTGAAATTTCATACCATAGATAATTTGGGCATTATAACTTTGAAAGAATCTGAGGAATCTGAAGTTTTGGCCTCTGGGTAGCTCATTATATCTAGCTAATCTAGACTACTTACCCAGAATGCTTAACGATTTCCAGTTTTATTAACTAGCAGATATATTAAAAAGTATCAAGTTAAATAGTCCCATATAAGTCAATATTTGCATAATATTGCTAACTTGGATTTTTTTACTAGGTCATTCATTTGACTTTACAAATCCATCTCATACTTGTTATTAGATCCCTCTCTGGGCGCATTGTTGGAGGTGTGTGGTGGTTCTTTACCCTGATCATAATCTCCTCCTACACGGCTAACTTAGCTGCCTTCCTGACTGTAGAGAGGATGGTATCTCCCATCGAAAGTGCTGAGGATCTTTCTAAGCAAACAGAAATTGCTTATGGGACATTAGACTCTGGATCCACCAAAGAGTTTTTCAGGGTAAGAGATCTTGATTTGTTAACTTCTGATTTTGATCTTAAAATTTAACCATTTTCCATTTTGTCCTCGCTCCCTCATTCCTGTGCTCTACGAAGGTATTATGTGATAGTAATCCCCTCTCTGTCTCTCTCTCTGTTCTTGACCTTGTCTCTATACCTCTCCCTTCCCCATCCTATCCTTAGCTCCATCTCTATTTTGTCATACCTATCTCCTTAGGAGAAAAACACAACATTATAACAGAATTATAGTTTTATAAAGATTGTCCTTTTGGAACAAAATTGAAGCAAACTATAAATAAGTTTAGATTGTTATTATTTTTGAAGCAGAATTTTTAAATTTTAAATGAGCATAGCTGTCATATATTTTACATAGTTTACAGTTGAAAACTCACTTTCAAATCAGTTATGTCAATTCTGTTATGTTAATTAGAAAAGATTATATAAATGTGTGAAAATTCTGAATTTTTTCAAACTCTCCAAGAAAAAACTAACAAAGGTCTAAATGGGTATCATAATTATAACATGTCTATTAAATATATTCTATTTTTCAAAAAAAATTGTGACCATATGGTATTTATATATAGGACAAGTCCAATAATCTCATGGCCATACAATTTTCTTTCATTATACTATTTTCTCTCTATAAGAAGTTGTTCTATTAAAATGTTTAATACAGCTGATAAACTTAGGTTTTAGGCCAATGTATATTGTATATATACATATATATGTATATATATATGTATATAACATATGATAACATGTATATAACACATATATACAACATGATAATTGTATATAACATATGATAATTTCTGATAATCTAACAAAATCTTTGAACGTATATGAATTTGCTTGAGTGAGATCTAGGCCGTTCCAGAATTAAGATTAGCATCAGCTGAAGTAGTAGAGTATAATTTGAAGACCGTTTTATCTACATTGCCTCCGTATCTTTTCCAACTAACTTCAGTTAAATGAAATAGGAGAACAAGTGTGTGTGTGTGTGTGTGTGTGTGTGTGTGTGCATGCGCGCGCGCATGTGTGTGTGTGTAGGGGCAGACCACAGCTGATAATAGATAATAACCTGGCTACATGTAGGGAGGGCAGGATCTTTTTTTTTTTTTTTTAAGATTTTATTTATTTATTTGACAGAGAGAGACAGCCAGAGAGGGAACACAAGCAGGGGGAGTGGGAGAGGGAGAAGCCGGCTTCCCACCAAGCAGAGAGCCCAATGTGGGGCTCGATCCCAGGACCCTGGGATCATGACCCAAGCTGAAGGCAGATGCTTAATGACTGAGCCACTCAGGTGCCCTGGGAGGACAAGATCTTGGTGCTTTCTTTAAGTACTGCAATTTAAGCACAGAAGTGTGGTTAACCTTATCAGCAACTGCTTTGACTTTAATGCAGTTCTATAAAAGAATGTTATAATACAGATTTGCTACTAATGACAAATTGTTTTCATCTATGAGCATATATGTAATATGTATATAAATACTCTTAATGTAGCACAGTGTTTTAGTTTTATCATAACACTGGATCTATTAAAATAAATTAGAATATTGCATGGTTCTCAATTAGAAGTGTATTTTGAAGCAGTTTTTATTACTTGTATTCCAGTAGGACTTGCATTTATTTTATCTATATACTTTATTCATATTCTTCCTCTTAAAGTGAATGAAATATGTAAATGAATAAGGTACCTGCTATATCATGGTTTCCTTAGTGTTACTTAATGTTGATTAAAACAATCTTGTTTCCAGATATTATCTTACAGATTAGTATACATAAGTTGAGAGTTACTCTCATTAACTTGTTTGCAAAGCAGTGGTTCCAGGTACTCTCAGCAACTGTACATACACATTTCCAGAGCTTTGCCATGTTCCTTAACTCAGTATAGAAACATATATGTAATTTTCAAGATGTCAAGATTTCATGATTGGTACACACAAGTGCCCCAGTAGACAAGATGAAAAGATTAGATGACTCTGGGAAAAGAATGCTGTTACTCTTGTGTTTTGGTACACTAACTCCATGAAGACCATGATTCCAGTATGCAGTATGTTCATGTATACATACGGACACTTGCCAGCATAATTTGTGGTGTGCCATTTGCCAATATAAGACTGTGGAGCTTACCCTTCCTAGAGTAATAGGGAAGTGATAGTGAGTAATTAGGTAAACTGATACCTTTTATTATCATAGCTTTCCCAAGCAATTTCATGTGCGTTATCTCTTTGCTTATTTATTTATTAAAGTATAATTAACATACAGTACTCTACTAGTTTCAGGGGTACAACAAAGTGATTCAACAATTCTATATCTTACTCAGTGCTCAACAATTCTATACATAACTCAGTGTTCATAACTAGTTTTATGAGTTTCAGGTGTACAATAAAATGATTCAACTCAACAATTCTGCACATTATTCAGTACATTAAGTGGACTCTTAATCCCCTTTATCTACTTTACCCATCTCTGCCCCACCCCCACAACCACCAGATTGTTCTCTGAATTTAAGAGTCTGGATTTTTGTGTTTGTTAGTTTTGTTTCTGAAATTCCACCTCTAAGTGAATTCATATGGTCTTTCTCTGTCTGCCTTATTCCATTTGGCATTATTCCCTCTCAGTCCATCTGTGTTGTTACAAATGGCATGATCTCATTCTCATGGCTAAATAGTATTCCATGATGTGTATATACCACATCTTCTTTATCCCGTTAGCTTTTTGAATCTCACAATACATCTGCCTGATAATCAAAACAATGATTTTTATTTGCATACCATGAATTATTAAGCTAAAGCTCAGATAATTTTGTGGACTTGGCCAAATTTAGGCAGCTGGTAAGTGTGCTGAGGTTTTTACCTAAACCTCTAGGGTTCTTTCAATATCCTATTTTCACCTGCTGATAAAGGTCTCTGGATTTATTTTGCTGTGCCCATGCTCAGTTTAGGTTATATCCTTGTTTATAGGTTTATATCCTTGTGTGGCATTGGAGAATTATAATGGTAGAAACTCAGGCAGGGCTTCACACTTCCTTTCCACATACCTTCAAAAGGAACCCTTGATGAATCAACTTTGGTTAAGTCTCAGTGCATGCAACACTGTAGTTAGCTTCTCCATATCTAGAGAAAGAAGATTGTGGCCTCAAAAGTATTTAAGAGCCACACTATTTATTAATATTGATTCTCAGTAAAGAAAAGCTAACATCACTACATCAACAGCACACATCACCAGAGTGATAGGAGTTTGTCATGTTAATTTTTCCATTGACATGTATGACCTGGTTATAATTTGAGAACTTATGTATACAAAAGGTTTGTTTCTAAGAGGTGGGCTCAATAAAAAGGTGCTGCTAAATCATGAGTAATTTTGAATAATTTTGCTAACCATATTAATGTTTGATAATTGGATGCCATGATGATAATAGTGAGGACAATCTTATTTTTGCTTTGGACTCCCAAAAATATTTTTGGGATACTGTGACTTTCCAGCTGTATTCATCATGCCTTATACCTTTTTACATAAAGTTTAGTGCAATAGAGTATGGAGATTGACTAAGGGTTTCCCCTTTCAAAAAAAGAATTTCTCTTTAGAGTGTTATTTAAAATGTATTAGATAAAGTGAAGCTATCTCATAGACATTATAAAAGCAAAATATTGGTTTTCACTAACATTCTTTCTCTCAAATCGTCAGGTATATTATAGTTTGTCTTATTAGCTGTAGTCTGGTGAATTTCTAAACTTCTGGTGGAAAATGTTACATGGGAAATTCTCCTTGCTGCTATTCCTAAAATTAGCATTCACCACCCATCTTGGGTCATCCTCTCTCAACTGTCATTTAGCTCTAGGCATGCCTGGGGCTCCTGTAAGGTGGATTCAGGACAAAGCGAAAGCTGGCAGATTGATTATCATGGTGCCCAGTCTGTCAGGAAAGGGAATATAGATGGAATGGGCTGAAGTTAGACTGAAGACATGGATTGTATGCTTTCTTCCATGGCCATCTGTTGTGCTTACTTTCAGACCTAAGAAAGCTAATTACGTGTGGAAGAAAAATATTTGCCATTTTTACCATTTGCTAATATTTAAATTTTAACAGTTATCTTATGTTTTCTAATACAGCTTAATTTGGCTTCATTGAAGACTTTTTCTTATTACACTGTTTTTGACTAGGGATTTTATTTTTTTATTTTTATTTTTTTTTAAAGATTTTATTTATTTATTTGACAGACAGAGATCACAAGTAGGCAGAGAGGCAGGCAGAGAGAGAGGAAGAGAAGCAGGCTCCCCGCTGAGCAGAGAGCCCGATGCGGGGCTCGATCCCAGGACCCTGGGATCATGACCTGAGCCGAAGGCAGCGGCTTTAACCCACTGAGCCACCCAGGCGCCCCTTGACTAGGGATTTTATTATTTATATTATTAAAAATTTTCTGCTGTCCAAGAGTTTATAAAGCCAGCTTTTGTTGTTGTTGTTGTTGTTGTTATTTTTAACACAGCAAGAGCTTTGGATTTGGTCATTGGAGAAATTGATTTAAGAAGCCAGGTCATTTTCTAAATTTTAAAGATATGTAACTAGCTAAAGAATGAAAAATAACTTGTTGTCTTTTGTCTGAACATAACAAATGTTTCCTAAAAGCATATCTTTTTGTTGAGATGAAAACACATTATTTAAAATTATAAGATGAATATTTCATCCTTTATAGGGACATATCTGTTTTGTCCTATGATATGAGTTACCCAACTTAAATCTAAAGTATTTTCAGATTTCAATTAAATAATTTAATAAACTGTGTTATAATAATATGATTTAGTAAAGTCAGTAAGTGTGCATTAGCTTCAGAATTCCAATTTCAGCTGTAAATTTTCTAACTTAAAATCAGAGATAACGGGTAAAACAAACATGAATGAAATATTTACATTGTTCTATTAGAGAGAGACAATAAATGGAATGCAATCTTGTACCATCAAGAGGTATGAAGAAAAAGACCCTGCATCTTCATTTTCCAGG